CTCTCTCTCTCTCCACTTTGCCTTTTTCGAGCGCTACCGTCTTCACCCGAATAGTACACCCGGTCATTATCGCTGCATCTGCAGTAAAAGTTGCCCCTAGTACAGCTCTAATGACCAGGCATTCTATTCGGCTGAAGACGGTAGCGCTCAGCAGCACGCCACCTCCAGGGTACGCAAGGTCGAATGAATCACGAGCTGGGACGTACCGATGTTATGTGGTGTTGAATTTATTGCTGGCCTGCTCAGATGGTATGTTGTTTTCCTCCTCAGATGCCTGAGATTTCTCGATCTGTACGGCCATAAATTTTCCATGACCAGTGTATGCCTTGACCCAGCAGGCCCTGGAAACTATTGGAAACTGTTGCTGAGCCATTGGATTGTGTGTAATCTGTGGCCGTGGTTGAACCTTGAGAGATCTTTGACACTTTGGCTTCTGTACCCGGGTAGGGCCTGGCTGTTGACTTTCATTGGGCTCCTTTGACTTCTAGAGGCGCTGGACACCTCGTTATGACCCCTCCTTGACCCCAAGGCGTATGGATCTAAGGACTTTCTCAGACCCTGTTTCCAGGCCCTCACATTGACTTTTAACCCTAGAACTTTGCTATGGCCAAGAGCTACAAGCCCCAGACGTGTTGCATTGCTGGTTTTGCGTCTTTTGACCATTGACTTTTGAAGTTTGAACACTAAATGTGCTTTCCATTCGTTGTGTTGCATTTGACATGTGCAGAATGCCCTTCCTTTTCCTTTTTTGTGACCTTTTCTTTTTTAATTATCCAGAAATCTGGATAATACACCCCCTGGCTCATCCTAGGGCTGGATTCGCACGACCGCCTATGCACAATTCCACAATGTATATTCTTTCGATTTTCTTCTTCATCAAAATTTTGGAAAAAGAGTATTCTCAATTGGGACCCGAACACGATCCAAACACTGGTATCCAGGCGTGGACATCGAGCCTGTCCACTGACTGTCCAGACCGGATGTCTAGTTTGTAACCGTGGCTCGAACCCTTGACTGCTACTTGTACAATCCTGAACTCTGCAGTACCAGGATGCCAGGCTATACATTCAAGGGGATTGTCCCTAGCTGGCTAACACTCTGTTGCGATCGGGCTGTCATGTGCGTTGAAACTTGAAACTGTACTCTCGCTCTTTTTTTTGCTTTGGTATGTTCTTTCAGCTTTGTTTGTACTTCACGGAAATGCAGACTCGCTCTAGGAGTTCTCTGGATGTGTATCTGACGTCAATTACTGCTACAGTTAGGGCATACTCACACTAGGACGTTTTTTAATGATCTCTGGAGTCTGGACGTAATTACGGTCAGATACATCCTGGTCTGCCTGTAATTGCGGTCAGATACATTGAGGAAAGTCCTAGTGTGAGTTTTGCCCTCAGTCAGTTGAGTCTAAATTGGAAAATTCAAAATTGTATATATAGTATTATACATATTGTACATTCTAATTCTGGCATATTTGGTTTGTGCATTTCGCTTGTTCCGCTTCGTTCACAACTGCAGGATTGTTAGACTTCCTGTCCCTTTCTGTATCTGATCACCTTCTTTTTTTTTCCCTCGCATATGTAGTTTTCCAGGATGACAAAAATGTAACTTGGATCAACGACAGCAAAGCGACCAATGTCGACGCGGCAGTGGTTGGGATAAATGGGATTGTCGGTAGAAAGGCGGTTGTCCTTCTTGGAGGCCTAGGAAAGGTTTGTGTTTCGCACTCTCTCATGCGCTGAAGGTTGGGCCTTCATGGTTCTCTGAACTTCCCTTTTTTTTTTTTTTTTTTTTTTTTTGGGTTCTATGAACTTTAATCGTCCATAACTATGGAATTGTAATGACGCACGCGCTGAAGGTTGGACCTTCATGGTTCTCTAAACTTCTTCTTTTTTCTTTTTTTTTCCCTTTTTCTTTGGTTCTATGAATTTTTTATCGTCTATGGAAGTACAGAATCGTAATGACTAATATGTGACAAATTGACAATATATCTGAGTGGGGATCCGGGCCGCCCGGGTGACCGGCAGGGGCCCGGGGGAGGTCCCGGGCGGCCTGGCCGGGCAGGTCACCCGTTTGGGGGCCGGCCCCCCCCAGTGCACTCACCTGTAGGGGGGTTTCGGACCCCCTTTTTGCTGGTGTTGGCCTCCCGCAGGCCTGCCGGGTCCGACCGGCCCAAGAAACCGTTGCGTTGGGCCCAGTAGGCCTGCTTTTTTTTTGTTTTTTTTTCCGCGCCGGCTCTGTGGCCGTCAATCCACTATGATCGACGGCCACAGAGCCAGCGGATCTTGGCGCCTTCCCCCCGTTCAAACCTGGGATCGGCTGGGGTGGTCTGCCACTCGCCCCCCAGCACGATCGGAGTTGCTCCTGTGCTGTCCTGCTGCGCCGTCGCCCGTCGCCATCGCCATCGAGAGTCCTGATGCTGCTGGTACGACGAAGGCCCCGACTGTCCTGCTTCTGCTGCTACGACGAAGGCCCCGACTGTCCTGCTGCTGCTGCTACGACA